ATTGTTGAAGCATTTAACCTTTTTCAATCGCCTAAATATAATATATTTTTGTAAATATCATTCTTTAACATACCTTTTATACATTCTTGTAAGAGAAAACACTGCACAACCATCTAAATTATACTAATATGAACATATGATTATTCCCAAACATCATTTTAAATCTTCTTCACTTTTTCCACAAAAATATGTTTCCCCTAAGGCTGCAGAGTATACTAAATACAAACATTTTAAGCTCAAATACCATCCGCAAAAGGAGATTAGAAAACTTTAAAGAAAGACAATGAATCAAGACTTAAAGAGTGGCAATTAGATGAGAACTTGACAAAGCTAATAAAGGAATTACAACCAGCTGAGTTGGTATGTTTCATTACCGTTAAGTTGGGAGGAATATTTTACAATCTGAATAGTTTTAATAATGATTATAATACTGATGCAACATTCCATTCGATGAGGGTTCCATTAAATCAAATTTTGATTACTTACAATTGAGCATTTTTATTTATTTATTATTACTTGGTACAGCACATATACAATGAATTTATATAATACAAAACTGCATAAGCCTTAAAAGAGGCTTGTCCGCAGCGTTTCTTCCGGAGGCTACAACAATGAACGATTTTGTATCAAACTACCCCTTAAAAGTAGCCTACAAGTAACATGTACAAAATGTATTAGTGTTATGAAAATATTGGGAGGATACAAAATTATGCCGATGGAGGTGGTATTGTTTATAACTGAAATGTAAAACAGCATTTGACCATTAGTGTTAGAAACCAATATTAATATTTGGTGTAAGTTATTGACTAAACCCAACCATCTATCTACAATACTGCTAGTCTATCCATCGATGTAAAGTTTGAACAGATCATTTCATTTGTTTCACCCACAAATGAACTCTGCTTAGTTAGATGTAGTCATAGGAACAAATTTACGAAGGGAACAACCTTTTTAATATATTTGTTATAAAGTACTAGGGATGTTTTTAAAGTGCATAGAAAAAATATTAATGTGTTTCTGGTTATTATGAGTTCACTAATAATAACGACCTATTGTCTTTTTTAATTGCCATTCCACAAATTCAATAATTTTTCTTTTTTCTATTTGACAGCAACTTAGAAGACGCACAGGTAGCACTGCATATGTCAGTTAGTTCCTTTATTTTATTGTTAAATATTTTGGCTTATTAAAACTCGTTTGTATTTTTAGTGACAAAGTCTCTGTCTAATATATTTTATTTTATAATCACAGTTTGTAGCCAATGTTTTTTTGAATAAACTATATATTCATTCATTCATTATTAATTACAAGCTATTTAAGAACAAACAATAGGTTTCTGTCAATCTAATTTTAATTTGTTCCAGTTCAGTATTGCAGTTATGGGTCTCAATCCAATGATTTAATCCAATCTCTAGATTTCGGGATTTGTCGGAGACGGACCCAAGATTATATTATTTTGGGATTTTCACTTTTTAGTCATTTTAAATGAGTGTAGATTCCCTGCCCTAATAATTTAAAACTAGTCTTAAAAATTGTCATGGTGCACTTTTGCTTGCCGTCTTTCTAAGATAAATAGTACCACATGAAACTTTCATTACCGTCTTTCTTATAAACAGTATAAAGGTTATATTTTGATCAGTAATTCTAGAATTTATAAAATACACACAAAAGAAAACACAAGGAACCGAACTCATATCCTTAAACATAATTCTCCACTCCAAGCTTAAAATGTACAATTTAAAAAAAACTGTAATATCAATATTATTTCATTATTCATACAGAATTAAATCTTTCTACACCCAAACATAATGTTATGTTGTTCTAAGTCTAAGGAATTTATCTACTCTAGAAGGAGTGTTCATCAACTACGGAATAAGGAAAAGCCTCCAAGAAACATTTTCCTTATTCAGTTTTGGATGTCCTTGTTTTCTAGTCTAGTTTGCATAAAGAAAGTTACACAGTAATTTTCAATAGAGGAAATAACAATTCAATTATAGGAACTAGAAGTGGAGGATAACTTTTTTGTGTAAAATTTGTAGAAAACATTTTGAATAGAAACTCTTCATGATCAATACAGCAACTCTATACTACAGTACTTGAATCTATAGTGTTTTAGTTTTTAAATGTCCATAAAATACTGTATTAGCATTCATGATGTGCGCTCAAAAATGCATTTAATTATTGAGATGGAAAAATATAAGTAATACATACAGAATTGCTGGATTTTAAAATATTTTGTATCATATAGGCCTAAAACAAATTACTGACAAAAAATAAAAAATTAACATATTACATACTCCAAATTACAGGATTTACAATACAAAATTTGTATTGTAGAACTATCCCCATGTTTCATACGGAAGATAATAAAAAATTAAACTTGCCTATATATTCATCATAGAATTAAGTTAAAAACCTTTTAAAACATCATGAAAATATGAATACAAATTGATGTTCAGTAACACAAACAGACAAATATATGACGATAAGAATCTAAGATAAAACAGTGTTCCTATGTTATACATAAAAGCCTGACATTAATCACAACTTTGACATACAAAGAGTTGATTGTAGATGAGTTGAATAGGCGTAGAGTTTAATGAGTCGTAGCAACGAAGTCTTTTCGAGAGGACTTCATAAAGAATCGTTTCATAATGTATTTTAACTCTTTCATTTGTCATAGTGCTGTATGAGTTTAAAGCACACTATACAGCCCAAATGAAATTAAATTTTCTGTGTTCATTATCAAATTAATTTGTTTCATATTTTGAGAAACAGTGCTCACTAATTTTACAGAAATCTGCATGCTTTGTTCATAATAACCGAGGATTCATATAATTAGTTTATCAATGTACCCTGTTGAATACAATTTTTTTTATAAAGACCCTCGCCTACCTGATTAGGTGCAATTGAGACAAACAAAAAAGTTGTAATTGATATAAACAACATGGACGGCAGGCCCGGACTTGTTGAGGTTAAATCTGTGGACCTTATTTAAATTAGTGTATTATATTTTTATATATTTTTATATTGCTTCAACAGGACTTAATCTTATTTCATTAAGAATAAAATAACCATCCTAAATTAGTTTTTGAGGAAAACTATGTTTCTATAGATCTCAAGTGGGTTTGTAAGTGTGATGAATATGTTGAAAGCCCATTGGTCCACTAACAGATTATGAATAAGACAAAGGTACACAATTATACTTGCTTCTCCCCCACACACACAAGCTCCACCCCATTAATCCTCAAAGTTGCAAACCTATTGTTGCACAAACCTAAATAGCTTAATAGAGTTCCTCTAATCTGTTTTGTGCGGATGCCTTGCGCAAAAGCACAAATTTGTTTATTTACTTTCATAACTAGACACTACATCTCACAAAATAATTCAAATGTTATTGTTATGCATAAAAAAGTATGTTTCTCCTGAAGACAACAACACCAAAAAACAAATTCATAATGATAAACAACAAATTCAGATTCATCATGAGGGAGCAGAAATGAATAAGGTGATTATGAACCATCTAGGTCATGATAACTAAACAATATTACAATAGGTACTTATAGAACATGAGTGACATAACTTATTTTTTAATTTATAGGAGTAAAACTGTATATAGGTTAATATAAACTTCTGAAAGTTTTCCTTTAGTTCTCTAACATGATAACACTAATTTAGGAACAATTGTTATGTTATCGTTTGATATGTCATACAAACAAACGCCTTGATAGCAATATAGCCTTGAGAAACTCAAGAAAATCATTAATAGAAACTTTTAAACAATCTTTTGTTATCAAAGGTTAAACGACATTCTCACGATAACAAGTTAATTTAAATGGCAGCAAATATCTTCAAAAAGATCATCAGAAACACATATCTTATTGAAAAGGATGAAGGAAACATACATATCAGTTTATATCCGATTCTCAAGCTTTCAGAGGTAAGGAGGATGTACATAATATATTTCAATATTATGATTTACTACCATTGTTTACTTTGCAGGTTTTGTTTACCTATTGACTTCTGTTATGCAATGTCATGTTACTGTTATGAAGAGATGTGTGTTTAACAGATATATTGCCATAATCCACAGTAAGCAGCTGGTTTGTTTACTCTTTTTAGAAAATAAAAGAAACAGAAGTTGTTGTTTACATAAAGGGGTTGGTAAAATCAGATAGTGTGATAAATTTACCAACCACTAACACAAGGCACTTCAAAAATGCATAATATGAGTTATTTCAATAGGCTCTCTTTGAAGCTACACAATAGTATATCTTGTACCTAGGACCGAAACTGACGTTTTGCCGGAGATAGTTTTAACTATCGAGAGCTGCAAAACCATTTCGTTCTGTGGTACGAACGCTACTTTTCACCACACTATACCCTATTACCACTATTCACCACAATAATAATGCAAAATGATAATCAACACAACTACAACTTTAAGGTTATGTGAATAAATAATTTGAGGAATCATCAAACATAATAATAAATAGTTGCTAGGCAACGGTGACAATAAAGCAATTCTATTGCAGTGCTATGGATACTGATTGTGTATTTAATATGCATTCATGTTTTAAGTAAGTCAGCGGGCAGCTGATTTCGTGGCCCTAGGGATGTAAAAACCTGCTCGGTCCCCAAATAACGATGACAGCTGGCATGGCCAGCAAAACGTAACTTTCAGCCACCAAAGGTATGTAAAACAGTAAAAAAACCTCATAGTGTGGTGAAAAAATATTTGACAGGTTTAGAAAGCCACTTTTATACCCAATGTTGGAAAGGTTTAAGAGCATTTGTTTTAAATGCAAAATTCTATTAAAATATTGTGTAGAAGCAAATTTGTATGTATGAAATTTGTTGTACGTAGTTTGGCTGAAAGTATCGTACTCGACTCACGAGGGAATGTGTTAACATTACTTGCATTAAATCCTAACTGTATCATGCTTGAACATAAAACACTTACTTCGCGGTCTTATAGCGTAACATTGTTAGGTACTCACCGAGCCAGAGCTCTTGTAGCCGTAGGCGTGCCGCAGTATCGTGTCCTCCAGACACCTCACCCACTTTTCCCTCTCCTCGCCGTCTCTGGCCTGGAAGTGGAATGTCTTGGAGTCCACGGTGATGGTGAAGGTGCTGTCGTCTTCGTCGTCTATTCCGATGACAGCCCCCTTCAGTCTGACGCAACCCCGACGCACCCCTCGCATCATTTTCTCCCGCGACTGGAACAGAACATATCACTATTATTGAGACAAGGATGCAGCTAAGCAAGATGAGGTATTTTGAGTGGAAAATCGTGTTTTTTCCCTGTAGCAGCAAAAGTAGGTATTTTTTAACTTAATTATTTAACAGGCCAACACCTGACACATTTAAAGGAATATTTTAGTAAAAAACCAATCAGACAAATGGAATTTCACTTAGTCTCCAGGTTTGGAGGGCATGGGTATTTTTTAAAACCATTAAGTTAATATTTTTGTTTTTTGACACTTTTTTGGGCTTTAATTTAAAAATTAAGATGGCTGTCATTAATTTTTCTAATAAATTGATACTATTTTAACACATGTTATTTCTTAAAGAGCAGGAGACCTAATTTGAAGATGAAAATTAAAAACGTCTCATGTTTTGTATAAAAAGTGCTTGTGGGAAAAAGGGTTTTCCCAATTTTCTATTTATTTTTACTCATAGAATTTCTTCCTGGAGCACTTTTATCATAGGACATCCTGTTTATCATTAAAAAGATGAATTGAGTTTTCACTTAATTAATAGTTTATACTTTAAAATTTACTTATTACAGTAACTATATGCTAGTTTGTGTGTTTTAAAGAGCTCTGGGAAATATACAAGTATTTACTATCACTGTGAAGAAAATTTTTATGAGATATAACTTTAATTTTTTTATTGATAAAAATTTTTAGATTATCATAAGATTTTCCTGTCAAAAAAATAAAGCCTTATGAGAGCAGTTTAATTTTTACAAGTAGTTAAAATCAGTAAAAAGTAATTTTAGATTAGCACATTTTTTTGTGATTCGACAAATTACCTGGTTCAGTTAGACTGTAAATTTGTATACTCAATGGCACAAAACTTTAATTTTGTAAAAACATGACTGATAGACTCGCCCTAGAGTGATAAGCCAAGTTTCAAGGCCACTGACAGCTTTCCTCGCAAGATAAATGAGCATTGGTTAACACCCGGCTTGGCGAAGATAAGTCAATGTCTCGACCACCAAACCCCTTCTATACTTGTGACAGTAGATTTAAGTTTCACTACTCAGCTTCAGTGATAATCAACAGCCCTGAATAGTGAGCATAGAATTCAGAATGACGTAAGAAATTGAAACTATACTACCTGCAAGTTAGGAGTTTTAGGAAAAAATACAGTAAATTTATATGTACCTATTACATGTAGAGTAGTGAATTTGTTTGCAACTTAAGGAAGAATTTTAATTTTCAAGTTTTCAACATTTCCCAAAGAAAAACCGAATCAAACAAAACTTTACAAATATTAAGCTAGCCATTCTAAAAGTGGTTTAAACTGTTTGTAGGCCTATCTTATTTATTAATTTTTCAAACAATAAACTTTTAATCACATGTTGGGGAGTCGAGGTTTGACAAAAGACAGATTTGACTACTTTTCAAAGGTTGCCTGTTGAATATGTTAAGAATACACTAATACGGTTGAGATATTAAAACACTTCATTAAATTAGTTTCTACAAAACCAGAGCAAGTGATTAGGCCTTTTTTACTGTAACATATTCAATATAAATAAATTAAACATTTGTAAAAACAATTTAAGATGAACAGATTGATCAATTATTATTGGTATAACAAGTAGAGGGTGATATTAATTACAAAATTAATTTGAAGGGCTAAAAGAAAAAAAAATTAACTACCGGTCCTCATATCCAGAAATTTGCATTTTGTGCAATAATTAGATTAAATAGCTCATCAACTGGGTCTGTGGGACTCATCAGATTGAAATGATAAATGAGTATTGAAAATGGTTGCATAATATTTTCTTTTAATGTTCATTGATAAAATCATTTCCATTCAATGTATTATTCAATAATCAGTTTCATTGTGTAGTCACTTTTCTAATAGTAATTATTTTAAATGTTGGACAGTTGCATTAAGTTTTCTTTTCATAAACAAATTGTATTATATAATTTTTTTTAATAGCTCAAATTACTCTTGTGAAAAACCAAAATAATGTTCAGTAATAATATTGTGTCTTTAATGGATTCAAGTGTTAATTGAAAAAAATTGTAAACTTTATTATCTTTTAGGGAATAAGCTATTACCGGAGATACAACGTTAAGACCAAGATCCGGGACCGGCTTCCTGTTTTGTTTTTATGTCCACAGATTCCAAAAATACTATCCGTTGAAATTTATGTATTCCCTTCAACCAAATGATAAATATAAATGAGGAATAGATCAGGCATTTTAATTTTTTTTTATTTTAGTGAACATCCAATTGGCCAAAAGATTGGTTTTTACGGGTTAGCTTCAGCAGGGGTATTGTTAAAGTTTAGCTATTTTCTCTTTATTTATTATTACAATATTAATTTGTTATTATATGATTTAGGAGATTTCTTAATGTTTGGGTAGGTTCAAATCCTTCTAGCAAAAGATGATTTACAGAATCTGTACAAGTTGTTTGCATCCACTGCTGTAGGCAAAACAAATATTTCTAATAAATAACGCAATTTTATATTTATTATATAAATTGACTATCAACGCAGTAGAGCATAATTTATGTTCAATACTCAGTAAATTCTGGACTAAGTACATTCACCAGTATCACAACTCGACAATTTATTACATTGTTTTTATTAAATAAAGGTAAAAAATATAATAAATTAAACAAATAACTAGCCTGTTTGAAAACGCTTTACAACGCCAAACAAATTTAAGGTAGGCCTATTTAAATATTTTGCAGTCATCCTGACCAGTTTTATTTTTTGCTTTGCCTTACAAACAAATTAACAGTTTCTCACAGTAGTTTAAATATTTATTTAACAAATACTTAAAGTGATTTTCTGTGATAAAAACGAGGAACATACATGGCAACTCAAACCTGCAGCCATTGAATGGAAGCATTACCGAGAAAGTTATAACACTGCAAATGTGTCAACAACAAATACAGTAATTGTAATTGACACGTCAATTTGTCGACTTCAACACATTTGTACTCCAACTGTGGCCAAGCTTTTAATGTTACTTTACAAGTGTACAGATCTCAATTCATGATACTTGTTGCATAGATTTCCAATGGTCCTATAAAATAGTTGGAATAAAATACTTTTTAACGTATATTTGAAAAATATTGTTGTAGTTCAGGTTACCGGTACACAAATTTGCATGGTTAAAAATCAATTAATATGAAAACTATTTGAATTTTAAATACCGTATTTGTATTTTTTATGATATTACCGTCTTTCTGATAGGTAAATTACAATTTTTACAAAACTGTCACGTTTCAAGTTGGTAAAAAAAAAGAAATGCAGGTAGATATGCAAATTGAAAATTTGCCAACTAACATGAATATGGATATGGATGTGAAAATTCAACTGTGTGTTTTCAACAATTTCACAGTCTACTGGGAAATCTTTTACGCACAGATTTGAATGCTCCAGTTCATCACAATGTGTTGCCGTTTGCTAAGAATAGTCTTCACAAAGAGTAGGCTTAAGCCCAGCCTAAGGCTAGGTGCAGTGTGATGAAGTCTGTAAAGTTAAAGACAAGATACATTATGCATGGTAGCTTTTCTCTCGGATATACGATGCTTACATATCAGAGCGTCATTTCAATACCTCAACTAGACCCCACCCTTACGATTTAGTCTACTAAGTATTTTCTTACGAGACTCACATTTCAATCGCCTGTTTTCTGACATAAAATCTGCACATCTAATATTTTTTCATGATTCATCATTTTTTTATGGAAATAGGTTTTGATGCTCATACTTAATGCATTTAGTAGACCAAATTTGAAACTTTAACATAATTTTGGAGAAAATGTCATATTTCGTAATGAATACTATATCATGGATGTATATAAGCATCAGAAGATCATTTGAATGACAATTTCACTATGCATAGAGGAACACAAGTTCATTGTGTATTCAATCCTCTCTGCCAGACGTAGGCCTATATTAATATATGATTTTAATATTTTATTTTACTACATGTATGACAACTGAAAACATAATCTACTACCGTACCCTATTCACATACCTTAAGAATCAATCTATTTTCCACAAATATTTTGGAATTTTATTTGAATGATGTATTTCATACTCATACCACAATATCATGTCAATAATTAGAATTATCACACAACACAGTCTTGAGGCTGATAAATAATTAATTATTTTATCAAATAACCCTGACATGATATGGCATAATCTCACAGCTGTATAATTATTGGGCTAACAAGTTTTACAAAAGCTAGAGGTTTCTTACCAAAGATTGTTACCTACTTTAATTTTTTTTTTTTTTTTTCATGGAATACACTTTAGATATGCCAATGAAACCTAGATGTTGACGCTTTGGCTGGAAAGGCTAGCTTTTTTATGACTTATCACATATTATAGTTAATTAGATTTTAAATTTTAGGGTTAATTATATTTTAATATTAACATAAGTTATATAAGAATTTCACATTGACAAACAAATATGTTATTTGTTAACTAAATGTTTTTTTTTTATTTTGTTTTTTTTTTTATTAAAAACAAAAAGTGGTTGATATACAAATTTTTACAATAATTTTATAAATAAAATATTGACGAACGGTTGTTGTCTGCAGGTGAGGAACCAATGAACCATTTGAAAAGGATATACCTGCCTTCTAACCCTAGTGTAATACAAATTACATCATTAAATTTACTGCATTGTATTGTTTTTAACAAAAATGTCATTGTTATTATTAGGAATGAATGAATTAGTATATCTTTATTCTAACAAAGTATTTACAGAATTTTCACACAAATAATTAAAGGAGAAAAAACATAAGTGAATTTAAAAGAATAAAATAAAATTAACCATTCCATTACATCTATGTTTAACAAAGCGTACATGTTTATAAGGAATAAGCCGACATGGGCAGCGAGCCTGTGCGTCGACTGTAGTTGCGTCCAAACATAACGTTATCTGATCAAATACGAAATCTAAATAAATACTGTAATAAGGAACTACTGTTATTTGACATTTATTGTTACG